CAGAGCATTAACAAAAAAACTACACTACATGTAGTTTTTTAGTGTAGTTTTTAGTGTAGTGTAGTTTTTGTAGTTTTAGTATAGTTTAACTACACTATAATTACATTTATAGTGTAATGTGTAGTTATAGAGGGAAATTTTAATTATATATATAACGTTAATTATAAGACTTATAAGGTTATATTTATTATACTTAAATAAAGCTAATCTAGCCCTTTATAATACACTAGTTTTTATACATATAGCTTATAAATTAAGTGAGTTATAATAGGTTAAATCTTAGCTAAAAATTAAGATTTACTTTTTTAAAATAAGAGATTAAAAGCTTAATATCTCGCTTAATATTTATATTTTCAGGTAAATTTTTAAAGATTTAAAATTAGGTGATTTTTAGCTTTATGTTAATATATTATATGCTTATATAAGCTTTTTTTTAGTAAAACTTTTTTTATAATAAAATTTAAAAATAAAAAAGTTAAGTAAGAAATATAAAATCTATTATAATATAGGAAATAATATATATAAAAAGTGGGGGTTATTTACAGGGACTTTTCTATTAACAGGAGCTCTTATTATTTATATTAGTGGCTGTTAGTGATATTATAGGCCAAATAACAAGGGAATAATAGCTCTTGTTATAGTGACCTTTATTGATAAGAGATTTTTATCGCGTTATCAGGTACTTTTAACCCCCATATGCTCTCTGTAATAGTGATGTCTTATTGGTTATAACCCCCCTTGCTATGTCACACCTGGCTAAACATTCAGGGGTTATATTGTACCTAAGCCGGCTCACACTCGAGCACAGTTGGCCGCGTAAAGGGGCCGCGCACCGTCAGCGTCAAAGAATCAGGGTCTGTGTTTCATAACGCGCCAAATAACATCTCGACCAATAATACACAGGCAAGCGACCCCGAGGCATTCAAAAGCTAAACCGCCCCCAGACAGCACGATCCCGCCTGGGTCAGACTCCACAATGCATTGACTGCAGTCAACCAGATTCATCTTCATCTTCTAAAAAGAAGAGCTCATCTCAACAGGTACTATCGTCCTATATCTACGCGCCGTGTAAACTTGGAAATTAAGTATTACAGGACTTTATAACCACTGATAAGCGTGGTACGAAACGACCCATTAATGCTACTGATAAAGAGCCAGACTCCATTAAAAAGCCGCCACGTCGATCGGCGCGATTGTCCCTTGTATAGCAGAATTTAAATAAGGCTGCGACTAATCACGGCGATAACTCCGAACCATTCAATCTAATTAGATTTTGGGTAAGAGAAAGAGAGTGGCCGCGAGAATACTTTGAATCCAAAATAGAGCATTTACTCGCCCGGAAAAAATCTTTACCGTCTCTTAGTCACAAGCGATTAAACTCTGCTTCGTTAACGCCGAGTGATCAGCGGCCGAGGGAAGAAAAGAGCGCCCCTTGCCAAGACCCGCGCTATGAAACTCTTAGCGACTAAAGGCAGCTTTATAGTTAAGTCTAGCCTTAATATTATAAGTTCAAGTAAAGCCCTTTCTAAAACTCTTCTTAAGGCACAGCAGGCGGTTCCAGTAGTAGACTCTTTATTCCGAGACGACATTTTTAAAGCCGCTTGCCAAAAAAATCTATAATAAAAACGAGGCTCGGGTTATTTAAGATATTTCTCGGTTCATAGTTCCCTCCGCAGAGAGTCTTGCCACATTCGGCGCCAGACACCTTGACATATTAATAGAAAGTGTCAATAAAGGCTGGAACAACTACATCCCGTTGACAGGGACTCGCCCTTAACCTGACTATTCTGTAGGGTTTAAACGAGAGGCATTTAACAGAGACCAGCTAGCTAAGCTGTCACCTTTTATTGGCGACTTTATTAGCGGAGGAGGCCAGTCCTTTTTCATGGCGACATACTACATGTACTTCCCGTTCCTAGCGTGTGAGGTAAAGTGTGGCGCCGCGGCGCTAGATGTAGCCGATCGATAGAATGCCTATAGCATGACTCTAGTAGTGCGGGCTATCACAGAACTCTTTCGTGCTGTTAAGCGCGAAGGCGAGGTCCATCGACAGATCTTAGCTTTTTCTATCTCTCACGACCACCGATCGGTAAGGATTGTGTGGCGGCATTTATGCTTACAAGTTAAAGAAAGTTAAATAGTGCATTTAATTATAGCTATATTATTAGTATAAGAGGATAAGTATACGCTTAAGTCTTTAATTTAATAAGTTTTACTTTTATAGTATATAATTACTTATAAACTTATAATTAAAAAGTATATAAGCAGCTACTTTCTTATATAATATTAGCTTAAATTAAGCTTATAATTAAAAAAGCCTACTTAAATACTATATAATAGCTTTAACGCTTATATAATAGTAGAGATTAGAGGAAGTATTTAATTATATTATTTTACTAGTATAAGAAAATAGCTTTATACCTTTTTCCTTAAAGAAAAGAGTTTTACTTTTATAAGTAGTTTTATTTTTAAAAGTAATATTTATAATATTAATAAATTACTTATAACCTAAAATTATAAATAATATTAATAAGTTACTTTTAAGCTTAAGCTATTAGCTAAAATTATATAATTAAGTTTATTAAATTATTTAAATTAATAATAAGCTAGATAATAATATTCTTAACTTATTATTACTACTTAATATAAAGAAACTAGCTAAGGTAAGCTTTATTATACTTATAAACTTAAAAGTAAAAGCTTAACTAAATACTAAATTAAAAAAGCTAAAATTATAACTAAATTTAAGCTTTTATATATTATAAGCTACTTTAAAGCTTATAAGTAAACTTCTAGATATTACTAAGCTTATAATTATAATATTATAAGTATTTCAAAGTATATTATTTTCTTAAATAATAAAATAAGTTTATTTTAAGAATAATAATATACTATTAAACTTAAATATATAAAGAACTTTAGGAAAATAAGCTTTTTAAGTACCTAATAAACTAGCTATTTATTTACTTAATAAAAGTTAAGTATTAGTACTAGTAAAGAAAAACTTAATAAACCTAGAACCTTTATAAGAAGCTATAATAATACTAGTAAAACCTTTTACTAAAAGGTTAATAAATTAGAAAAAGCCTAGAAGTAAAAAGCTCTTACTTTTTATATATAAAAATATAAGAAAAGGTTATGATTTAAAAAAATAACTACTTAATTACCTAATTAATTACTTATAAATAAATTTTAACTAAGAATATTAGCCTAATTAGTAAATACCTAAGAATTAGAACTAAGAAAGCTTAATTATAGTATATATTATAATATAATAATTAATATAAATTATAATAAGTAAAGCTATACTTAATTTAATATATAACTTACCCTATTAAAAGTTTATATATTAAACCTAATTAAAAAGCTATAAATATAAAAAGAAATACCAAATTATTTATACTAAATTATTTACTAAGAAGACTATAATAAAAAGAAATAAAAACAGAAATTAATATCTTATATAAGGGAATTACTTAAAAGAAAATTAAGTATATAAAGGTTAAATTTAAAGTATTACTTTTAAAGTAAATATAT